GTCATAAGGCATTAGTATCTTTGTCTTCTTGCTTTTTCTTAATTTTTTAAAGATCCTTAGTGATAAGCATGACATTTATACTTGGAAATTTTAAAGGGACGGCACACACCTCTAGCAATTAAGAAAAGCGTCTCCCCTGACTGGGGTGAGCGTGCCGCAGGACACATTGAGAACAAGGTCAGCGCCTCCCACCAAACACTGTTAAAGAGCCTACCTGGAGACAACAGCTGCTCTCACTGAGGAAGATGCCTTCCTTCTCGCAGCATCTGTTGGATGGGCAATTACTATCTTTCTGTCAACCTAAAATGACAAGTAAAACATAAGTTTTGGGGACTGGAAGGCAGTTTGGTCTGCGCAAGCCTGAGGACCTGAATTCAGATCCCCACACTGGAATAAAAGGTCAAGCACAACAGTGTTTGGTTCTATCTCTCATGCTGGGGGGTGTATGGGGCTAGGAGCATCCTTGCAGCTCACTCGGGAGCTAGCCTACCCAAACAAGTGAGACCCAGCCTCAAAAATAGGGAGAAGAGCAACTGAGGAAGACAGCCAAACACCTCTGGTATGCACCCACACAGGCATGCTCTAGGACACACACACACACCACACACACACACGCACACAGACACCACACACACACATACACACACACGCACACATATGCACACATACATACCCACGTACACAGGTGCACACACACAACACACACATGCACACATACGCACACACACATGCACACACACCACATGCACACACCACACACACGCACACATATGCACGCGCACTCACACATGCACACACCACACATGGAAGAAGCATGACTCACAGAAGAGCATATCTAGAGCATGTGTATCCAGCAGAGAGACTGCTACGGCTTCCCAGGCAGAACAATGGAAGTAGCAGCTGTGAGTTCCTAGAAATTTTCCTGAAGCTAGATTTTGTGTCTAAAGGATCAGAGAACATCTTACCATCTAGCTCCCTTTTGAAGAAAAAAAAGGAAGAAAGGGAGAGATGGGGGCATTGGATTTCTTCTGATAGAGTTGTTATGCTTGTAAGCCCACCTGTGCAGACTGATCTGTGGAGGCAGCGGCAGGTGAGGAGGTGTGGGAGGGGCAGCTCAGGTGCTCACTGAAATCTGAGGGGACACGTAAGGGAGGACATCGCACAACAGATGGAAGGTTTGGGAAGCCACCTCATTCCTTGCTCTGGAAGTCAGCACTGGTTTCCCCTCGGTCCTTGTACTAGGGCATCGTCAAATCACTCATATTCAGAAATGCATACTTCTCCCTTTGAAAGATCTATTTGGGGTTTTGCTTAGAGTCACTGCCTCACAGAGACATTTTGGAGAATGTGTGAACCCCTAGGAATAGGTAACTGTGAGTCGGATTGGAAATGAATCCAGAATATGGGGTGGGGGAAAGCTGACTCTGAAGTGCCTATTGTAGCATCTAAAATCAGTCCTATAAAACTGAAGCAAGCATCCCTGTCCCAACCCCACCCAACAATGGTACACAAAGAAGGCGGGGAGTGCTTACTGCCACTTGCTGTGGGGATTTCCAGCTCAGGACTCTAGATGGCAGGCTGCCTTATATGAAGTGAGGACAGGACACTCAAGTGTTTGTATTTAGCCTTTCTTAATTCCTTGGAGCCTGGAAACACTGTAGGAATGACAGGAATGTAGAATGAAAGGGTCTGGGGTTTGTCTGCCATGCGTGAAGCCCTGTGCTTCATCCTCAGCTTCGTGTGAACATCATGTAAACCGGGCGGGCGTGGTGTGCACTTCTAAGCCCAATGCTTTGTTGGTGGATGAAGGAAGACAAGGTCATCCTCCTCGGCTATCTGGGAAGTTCAGGTCAGGCTGGATTACGATTACAGGAGACTCTATTAAAATGAGTAAGAGGGAAACTAATTTGAAATTTATTGTCAGGACTGACCGTTTTCTATAGCCTTCCTGAGTCTAAATCAGCATTAAAAAGAAAAAAAAAAAATCCCTACAAACCTGATGTAGAAACACACATACACACACACACTGCAGAACAAATAGTTTATTAAGTGGCATGGCCCAAGATAAAGAAATCCATTTGATAGTTTTCATTCATATACTAACAATAGTAAGGGGAAACACAAGATGTAGAAATAACCTTGTGCTGGCTAATCCTGCTTGTCAACCTGGTACTTTGGGAAGAAGAAAGCCCAATTGAGGAATTGTCTCTATCTGATTGGCCTGTGATCATGTCTGTAAGGCATTTTCTTGATTGCTAATTGGTGTTGACAGGCCCAATCCTTTGTGGGCGGTGCCATCCCTAGGCAGAGGGCCAGGGATGTGTGTATAAGAAAGGCAGCTAGCTGACTGACAGCCTGGAGGCAAGCCAGTTTGTGCTCCAGCTCAGTGCTGGACTGTCAGCTGGCGTAAGCCTTTTCCTCCCACATTAACTTTGGTTGGTCCTTATCACAGCAGCAGAAAGCAAACTAGGAGAGTCTATTCCACTAAAACAAGACAAGAGTGGTAAAAAACCTACAAGACGATCAGATAGAAAAATCCCTTAGAAAACTGTCAGCCCTCCACAAATTAATAGTCAATGAAAAGTTCTATTCTCATTCTAATGTTTTGTTCTTAAACCACATAAAAGCTGTGAAAGAATTGAAGCAAAAATAAATGGGGGATGATGCCTCCAAAGCAGTCCACAGCCTAAGCCTGGATGGAGTTGGGCACATGTGCTAGGGCAGTTACGTGTTACAGAAGAACCACTTAACTACTTCCAGGGTAGTGGGATCCTACTGATGGAACAGACAAAGCAGCAGCTCCCAGAAAATATTCAGTTTCCTAAGACAACATAATAGATTAAAAATTAACTGTTTTGATCTACCATGGAGAAAAGTTAGATGAGTTAAGAAATGGCATAACTGTAGATCCACATGGAAGGTAAAGTTTAATAGTTACCTGACAAATAACAAAAATTTCAAATACATTCAGCTATGGTGTGTGTATGTGTCTACATAATTTGGTTCTTATCACTTGTATCTCAACATTCTTCCCATCAGTTCGTATCACTTCATCTCACTATGGCCTAGTCACTTTTTAATGTAGTGGTTTATTTAACTTTTTTTTTTCCAGCAACAGGGATTGATCCCAGAGAACAATCTTCCTCTATGGTCTTCTGAGGCATTGAAGATACATATTGCAAATTTTGTGTGTGCACATGCATGTGTGTGTGCATGCATGTGGAGGGCAGAAGACAGCCTCAGATGTCATTCCTTGGATACCTTTTTTGTTTTTGAGGCAGAATCTCTGGTTGTCCTGGAGACATCATCAAATAAACTAGACTAGCTGGCCAGAGAACTGGGATCTCCTGTCTCAACCTCCCGTCCTGCCATCACAGTGGTTACCGTTCACACCACCGTTACTAGCTGTCTATATGAGTGCTGGGAATCCAACTCATACTGTCGCACTTTTTTGTTTGTTTTTCAAGACAGGGTTTCTCTGTATAACATCCCTGGCTGTCCTGGAACTCACTTTACAGACAAGGCTGGCCTCACAGATATCTGCCTGCCTCTGCTGGGATTAAGGCATGTTGCCATCATGCCTGGCATGTTGTCACACTTTTGAGGCGTGTGTGTTTTACAAACCATCTCCTCAGCTGACTAGTTTCTTTTTGATGAACATCTAGTTGTCTCAGATCTGGGTTTGGTAAGGTTATAGTCACAGAAGAGCAACATCAGACTGAAAAGACTCAAGTTTGAAAGTCCTAGTAGGAATCGCTAAATTCCTGGCGTAATATTTCAGAAGAAATTACTCTTTGTAGATGGGATTGTTTTTTTTTTTTTTTGGTTGATTCATGGGCAGCTTCATTTACCCACCCCTATATTGTCAGGGCAAGTATCCATTAGGCAGTTTCCTTGCTCATAACTGAAGATTGAGTAGGATTTCTAAGAACAGTGGGGATAGAACAGAAGTTCTTAGCTTTCAGATTTGAAAAAAATAGGAAAATGCAGTCTAAATGAGACAGCAAAATCTGTTACACATACTTTGAAAGTATAGGAGATAAAATGGATGAAAGATTTCTTAAAATATAGAATTTGGCTATTTTCTGTAACTATATTAACCCAAATTGATTGAAATGCTAAACCTACATAGAGCTAACATTTATGGTTATCATTGCTTATGATAACGAATTGTCAGAAGCAGGTTCTTCTACACCATAACAAAAGTCAGTACACTGTGTGATCCTGAGATGAGGCTCCAGAAATGCGAAGAAGGGTTAGAGCCCACACACCTGCACCACATCCTGCCGGATCGGTGCTTGAAGAATATTCTTCCCTGGTTCACTGATTTCAGGGATGCCCTCGGGAAGAAGATATTTTGCCAACAATTCTCTGACCTGTGCTAGATCCTTGGAAGCCACAAGGTGGAAGGAGAGAACCAGTTCACCCTGGTTGCCCTATGACCTTCACACGTGGACCATGCTGTGTGTGCGTGTGCACACTGATTTACAATGTTTTAAAAAAAGAAGAGAAGTTTGCATATGCAGAGCCCTTCATGTGCCAAGCACTGGGGTGAAGCCTGTGGCACTTGCCCTTTGTTTTATATTTGTTTAATACTCTACAACTCTGAGGCCCCTTCCAGTGTGCCTACTCTAGTAGGAGGTAATCAGCACACAATGGAGTCCCCAGGGGTGCATGGTTGTAAAGATGCCCTCGTGAGTAGAACAGAAGTTATCAGCACCTGAGGGTGGGCCATAGTTGGCAGAAGCCACCTCACCAAGGTGTGACTGGAACCTTATCTCATCATTAACATAACTGCAACCTTCTGCCAGCTTTCCCCATTGCCCACCTCTCCATGACAGCAGTGAGTGACTCACAGGGAACACAAAAGGCCAGTCCACCTCAAATGCTGACAGTGTTACTGCACCATGTTAGCACTATAGTCCCTACCCTTTCCCTGAAACTGTCTGTCTGAGCAGCAATCCACCCTTTCCTGTTTTGTTTTCTTCTCATTGGTGCAGGCTATGCTGAGAAATACTCCCTCAGGAAATCACTTGACCTGAATCTTGGCTTCTGGAGGACTATGCCACCTCTCAGGCAAAGGGGATTGGGTATGTGGACCATATTTCTACCACACCTAGCAATTCCTAATCTTCACACATGAACCTGGCAATAACTCTTCAAATAACTATCACAGCTTCCTTTGACCAACGGACAAATTAAGATCAATGCAGTGAGTGAGATTCAGCAAGAAGGCAAATTCTAAAAAGAGCACTTAGTTCCTCAAAAGTAGCTATCCAGGGCTTCTCTTCCCAGAGGGTTGCCTTGACTACCCAACTTCAGGATCATCCATTCTAACTCACCACACATCTGCAAAAGTCATGTTCACCCTACAGACATCCTCTTCTTCACTTTAGACACTGCCACCCAATGTTCCACAACATTCCAAAATAGTTGGGACACATGTGTTTACACATCCTATATCCAAACCTTAACACTATGTCAGAATTGACCAAATGAAAGAAAATCTAATTAAACAGAGGGGAGTGTCTAGCATTTAAAACATGATACGTTATAGTCCACTGACTGGCAGACACCCGTGAAATGATTTACCTCCCAAAGGTGATAACAAAATCTGAGATTTTGCTATGACTTAAGCAGTGGAATCTTAGGAAGTGGAATCCAGGTAGAGGAAGTGTGCCACTGGGGCATGCCTTTGAATAAATATATTGGGACCCTGGTCCCTGGACACCACCACTCCCTGTCTCTCTGTCTTTCTGTCTCTATGCCCCCCCACTCCTTATTCCTCCTTTCCTCTCTTCCTCCCCCTCTTTCACTCTTCCTCCATTCTTCCTTCTCTTCTGGCCACCATGAAAGAGCATTCTTTGTTCTATGTGTTTGATGTCTCACCTCCCCACAGGCCCATGATGACTGAGCCAAAGGCAGCCTCTGCAGCCGTGATTGGAAACAGCCATGCCTTTAAGTGTTTATTTCAAATCTTCTGCCATGGTGGTGGACAGCTGACCAGCACAGCTTCACTCTGTAAAGCTGCTATCTAATGAAGTCCAGCTGTTTGAACTCCAAAGCCTCAATACCTTTAACTGTAGCAGAATACTGAAACAATGTCTCCCTGACACTTCTTCCAAACATTTCTCCCAGCACTATGCCCACCAGGTAAGTGATGTTGTCTTTAGCTCTCTGGATGTCTCAAAGTACCATATCCTTTGGATATCTCCTGGCTGCACCTTTAATCCTAGGACATATGTATTTTTCTGCTTCCAGCTTAGTCTCTTGCAGGAGTCACAATGAAGAAAGGTGACCGGAGGTGGCAGTAATTACACTGTCACACAGATACCACTCTTTCTTCCACAGCCAGAAGACAGACAGGGATGAACTGTGGCATCAGTAGCAGAGACGTGAGAATTATAGCTACAGGATTTTCAGGCTGAAAATGAAGAGAGAGAAGCAGTGTGGCAGGCAGGGCACAGGGGGCATATGAGTGCTTGGCATGGCAATAAGTCACTGTGAGTGAGTTACAGCTGCAGATGAATCTAGAAACAGCTCAGTCCTCAGGGCCAATTACCATCACCATAGTTTGGTTTTCCTCACAGGTCTCAAATCTAGTTTGTTTTCAAAAACCGCTTGCAAGGGTTTCAAATAATCAGCATGAAAAGATTGACGCATGAAACAGGGTTGGTGATCTTTCTCAGATTCCAGTGTGAAGTGGCGGCTTAGATTAATGTAGACAAATTGTGTAGGTATTTGCACAACTTTACTGAAAACAAGACTCACGAAACCAAGGTTCCAGCGAAGTACAAGAAGCAGGAAGGGAAGCATGGCTTCTGTGCGCCCAATTTATCAGTAAATATTCGCCCGAGGCAAGCCCGCCCCCAATGGGCGGGCTTATCCCTACATCTCCCCCTTTTTGTCTAAATAAGACAGAACTAAACCAAATACAACTATAAACAATAATAACAAATAATAGATATAACAAACAATATTGAGAACAAAAAGTTTTACCAGACATTCTATCTCAAGGAGTCTAAATAATGTAGAGAGTAATTACAATTATATAATCTTCAACTCCGTCAAAGATCTGAGAAGGGAATCAATATTACTTAACAAATGAGAGATATCCAAAATGTGCCATAAATGACAGAGACAACAGACTACCTGGGCAATCACCCAAATTGTCGTTCACAATGTTGAGT